AAATGATCACAGGTGAAATAGCTTTTCAAATTTAAGCTCAAGACAACAATACATTTCGAATGATATATAAAAATTCCGTCAAAAATAGCTAGTTAAAATGTAGAAATTTGCCTGAAGAAAAAAAAACCCACCCCGAGCACAATTATTCCGTTACTTTCGTGTCGAAAGTCGGAGCAAAAAACTAAAACAAACCCGAATACAAATTTTCTCTCCATTTTCAATAGTAGGAACAAAAAAAGAGTCATGACGCGTCTTTTAAGCACTGGTGTAAGTGGAATTTGAAAAAACAGCGCTTTAAATGTTTCTTTTGTTCTCAAAACAGTTTTTGGAATCATGTGAATACCTTGACACTAGTTAACGAGGCAGGCCGGGGTACATTGTCATCAAGCGCTAAAATTTTTCTAAAAAAGCAGAATTTAACAGAAATTTAGATTTTCGCTGATTATAAACCAGAAAAATTTATAGAGCAGGAGATAGTGCAGAAACCTAATTTTGTGGCAAATTGTACCCATTTCTCTTAGATATTTTCAAATGATAATCATGTTAGTGCTATTTTTCTATTTTTTCTTCAGAAATGCAAATAAATATCTTATTTTGCGAAACCTGAATTTCATTAGCGAAGCTCTGAAAATTGCGACTTCTTTTCAAGGTTAATTGAAGTTTTTTTTTCAAAGAAAAATTGACGAAAAATCGAAAACAAACAAAAATTTTTTTTTGTTCTTTAAATTATCCAACTCCTACAAGCTAAGTTAAAGTACAAAAGGAGTATTTAGTGTGTCTTGTTTTATTAGTAACACGTATCAGGGCGATGGCTTGAACATTCCAACTGCCTTTTAAGGTCTAAGGAGCAGTAATAACATCCCCCACACGCCATATAAAGAACAAAGTGATAGATTTTGCTTCTAGTAACAAAGTACTTACGAAAAATAAGCTTCATTCAACCAATCTGGAACGATTTTTAAGACAGATTAAATCTCCGCTTGCGCGTTAAAAGCGCGAAATATATCGCGCGTTAATTGTCCCAAATTGGCATAAACGGTAATCTGTAAACCCCCATAATTTTACAAAAAATGATTACAAGTAAAACATATTTTTCTACTTTTAAGCTCAAGACAACAATACTTTTTGAATCATATAAAAGTATTTTGTCAAAAACGGCTAAATAAAAGTCGAAAACAAGCTGATTGTATCGTATCGCCTATTCGAACGATAGACAAATCAAATTTCAAAAAAGGCCACAATCGGAGTAAAAACGGGGCAAAAGTAAGCCTAGTGGAGGTTTATCAAACTAATGCAACGTGCCTTGTTCAATAAAATTAAAATGCGTTTCTTCATCTCAAACTAACTTTCAAAAAAAAATGCGAAAGTATCATAAAGTGGGAAACAAAAAGATTACATCAGATTTTAAGTATTTTGATTTTCTTAGAACAATAATCAATTACATATCGATAACAAGACTGCTCGTATCAAGGTAAAGCCCTGAATGTTCCGACTGCCTTTTAAGGTTTATGGAGCAGTAATAAAATAAAAAAAAATAATTTTAATAAAATAAAATGAAATTTTTTTTCTCTAAAATTTGAATTCTTTTTTGAAAATCATCACCCCACACGCCATATAAAGTACAAAAGGATAGATTTTGCGCCTTGTAACAAATCAATTATGGCAAATTAGCTTCTTTCAACCAATTTGGAATAATTTTTAAGACGGATTAAATCTCCGATTAAGCATTAATAGCGCGAAATATATCGCGCGTTAGTTGTCCCAAATTGGACAAAATGGCAATATTTAAACCCCCATAACTTTACAAAAAATAATCACAGGTGAAATATCTTTTCAAATTTAGGCTCAAGACAGCAATACCTTTTGAGTGATATAAAAAAATCTGTCAAAAATGGCTAGTTAAAAAGTCGAAATTTATTGAAGAAAAAACCACCCGGAGCACAATTATTCCATTACTTTCGTTATGATAGTCGCAAAACTTACTCTGTTTCTCCGAAAACAAATTTAACAGCTATTAACGACTCTCTTTATCTATTGATCTGCTTCCTGAAAGTGTTTTGCTCGTTTTTCAAATTGCTCGAAAAATGATATTATATATTAAATTTTTGTAATAACCGCATGGAAACTGAACATTTTTCATAGCCCGTACCCAGCGGATTTTCTTCACTAGATTTGAAATTCTCTATTTCTTAAGTAGGTTGATTGTCAGATCTGAATATTTTCATTTCAGATCTGGAATTAAATTTTTTACATCTGAATTTTGAATCTGAATCAAAATATTCTAGATCTGTTTTAACCTTGAAAAATAAACTTCATTTCCGAAATGAGATCTGAGAAAACCTTAGTTAAGTTATTATACATGCATTTTGAGCAAAAATTTTTTAAATAATTATGAAAACAGTTTTTTGTCAAACTAAATTTTTGTTCAGTAGTTTTAAAAAACTTTTAAAAATTGACATATTAAAAGACCTATAAGAACTTTTGTTTATCATTCGCTACTTATGCGTTTCCATTGTTTATCTCATTTTTCGGAAATTTTGAGACTTTGCTAGTGTACTTGCTATTAAAAAAAACAGTAAACCTAAAATTGCAAAATTGTGTTCAAAAGCTTTCATTTTTTTTAGATCAGAAAAAACCAAGAAAGAAAATGCAAATCGGAAGTTAGATCTGAATTATCTCACTCTTAATGTATCCAAGCATTATATTAACTTTTCGCAACCTAGTTTAGGTCTGAAAACTAGATCTGATACAGATTGTTTCAGATCTGAGTTAGAACACTTACTAGGTATTGGAAGGCAGACTGAACCAGATTTTTTCAATGAGCAGAACAGTTTGCTCTAAACAGCAGCAGAAATCTTTGAGCCTGAACGTCATTACGTCATGTTTGACATTATTTAAATGGATGAATTGTGTGCAAAATGCTCTAAATTAAGATACCTAAGTTGAATTAAACTGATTACATCAGTGGATATCTCTTCGATATCACCGATACAAGTACAATTTGTCCGTCAATTAATGCCAATCAAGTGTGTCTCTAATATCTTCTTTCATTTTCTTACAGCAATTTTTTTTTCAACTTTGGCATTGATGGGTGGGCATCATTTTTTAAAATTGAAATGTATGAAAAAAAAAATCAAAAAAATAAAATCAAAAAATTTTCAAAGTTCATGACAGTGTTCCTTATTTTTATGGAGAAAAATGGGTTGTTCGTATACATTTTTTTCTGACAGGTATGATACAGACATATCACTGCTACTGGTTTATTTTTGTTTGTCTACTGAGAGAAAACCACAATATTTTTTCAGATTATCAATGTTTACTTTTTTCTATAATTATGATTCATTTTTGTAATTGATAACATTCAGAATTTTTTTTTGATTTTTGTAATCGAACAAAGTCTTCATTTTTTTGGTTTCCTCTAAAATGCTCGAAGTCTTTTGAAATTGAAATTTTATTGGAACTCCTTTCATAAGAATGCTTAGATCTCGTTTAGTTTCTATGGTTTCCCATGAAATTTTCATAAAATTTTTAATCGAGGGCAGATCTAGGGATTTTCTAAAGGAGGGGGCTGATTTTCAAAATTGTTTAAAACATGTTGACGGCTTTTTTCTTAGATTGACCAATTTGATTTTCTAAGCGTTCCCAGAACACTATAAAGACCCTATTTTGACAAAAAAAATTGCTCAAAAAACAGGTCAAAAATGCCGTTTTTTTGGAATTTTTAGGAAAACTATGACAAAAGTTCGCGTTTAATTCGGCGAGCGCTCCCTTTCAATGTTAGTATATATTTTCCAAGGCGCCTTTAGAAAAATTTTAGGGTTGGTCGGCCAGAAACGGATGTCATAAGACAACAATACCAAAGGGACCCTTTGGTTGGTGAGGTAGGTTGAGTTCTGGAAGTTCGGGGGGGGGGGGGGGTTGGTCTTCATTCATCGTATGTGAACATTTCAGATGTTCATTATTTCATTAAAAAAGTTTCTTTTGTTCTTGCATCTTGTAATCAACAATTCATCCAAATAGCTGGTCGTCATTCATTTGGAAACATTTTCTGAGCTAGATCAGCTCGCCGCCTCGAGAGAAATTAAAATTTTTGTGTATTACAAGCCTAAATATCGTTTTTCTTTCTTCTGTCAATTAGTTTACAGGATCTCGTTTGTAAGGTCCTGCTCATATACAAATGCAGAAGCGGATCTATGCTTTTCCCGAGGGAGGGATTTTGAATGGAGACTACCTAAATGATTTTTTCTATTATCATAGATTTTTTTTGAAAATGTACTTCAAACTCATTCTATAAATGTCAAGGCTTCGTATGTATGTTCACATGAAAACTTTACAATCAATAAAACGCACCGATTCAGTTGTCATGCCAATTTTTGAATATAGGTTTATACATACATACATACATAATGTATGTATGTATGTATAAACATATATTCAAAAATTGGCATGACAACTGAATCAGTGCTTTTTATTGATTGTAAAGTTTTCATGTGAACATACATACGAAGCCTTGACATTTATAGAAAGAGAGTTGAAGTACATTTTCTTTTAAAAACCTACGATAATTTTAAAAAACGGATTCTTTTGAATCACTTAGCTAGACTCAATTCAATTTGGAATGATTTCTGAGATGGACGAATTTTTCCCTGTAGTTCGGCGGTTACCAAAAATTAGAATGTTCGCTCATATGGCAATTATCAAACCCCCATAATGCGTAAAGATTCCTATTTGCCGTACAATTCCAAGTGATATCATCGTTGGCTTTATACTGGGATAAATTAAAAGGTTGAGGTAAAGAGCTACCAAATTTGGAACATTATATATATTCTTTCATTTTGTTAATCATTTTTTCATAGCTAGCACTTGAGCGAAAAACGCTTGAAAGAACGCTGGCATTTTTGAGAGTAGACAATTTCTCTATAAGTGATCGGTCTAATCTTTAAACGTGTCAAAAATAGCCATATGTAGATTTATGAATTTTCAGTAGGTTTTCCCCGTAATTTTTATATTTAACTAGAAGAAAAAACCTGATTGGAAGAAATGTGGCATTTTTCCTTAGACAAAAAATTCGCATTTCTTTTATAATTCCGGTCGTAATTACCTTTTGCATTAAGAGTTGGCAGTAATCATTGCTTCCCGTTTAGTCTACTTGAACCTCATCAGATGGTTTGTTTTACTGGTTATTTTAAAAAACACCACAGATTAAAATCTTCCTAATTCAAAAGCGTGCTTTTATTGAGAAATATCTTAAGCTTAATTTATTACTGTTCTTCATATCCATTCTTGACTCCCTTTCTGCAATCATCCCAGAGTTAAAAAATACATTTCAGTCCGCCAACCGAAACAAAATTTCATGACAACATTATTTCTGCAAAAAATATATAGTTTTCACCCTTGTAATTTTTTGTTGTTTTCATTGATTCTATAATCAAATACACCAGGTTTTCAGTTGCTTCTGATCTTGCTGTAATCTCGTGAGTTGTGGCTTCTGGTGAACAAAGGTGAGTTATTATCAAGGTGTTCATTTTTTTCATGGTCAATATATTTTTGGTAAGATTGCTTTGCTTGCTAAAATTTATGCTCTCCAAAACTCAACAGACTTCAATCACTTATGCAGGCAGGTTTTTTGCGCCTTTATCCATTATAAGAATTAAGAGTATTTATGAATAAATTGAAAATGTAATTCAATAAAACAGCGTGAAAAAAGCTTCATTGAAACAAAACTTTTCATAACAGATTTCTTGTCGAATCTTTGATTGTATTTAAGAACTGAAAATGCCATACGATTATTGATGCAAATTTGATGCACATGAATTGGCTCAGCTCTGTACACATAGCTCAATACTATTTTCACAACGGTTTTCCCAATATTTTCTCGAGGTGTTGAGAATTCTTGTACGGATCTGGTAATATGCAGCGCTAAATCTGTGGAAAACAAGTTGATTAGCTTTGCTATTCAATAACTGATATCTAATTTATAGTAAAATGCAGCCGAAATTCCAGTGTTCATCAAAAACATCATTCCTAAAACCTAATTTTCCACGCAAAATCAAGTACCACATTTAGTTATTGGAATGGGCCAAGTAAGTCTTCATTTGAATGATTTTAATTAATTTGTGGAACTAGTTTTGGAAACTTCAATGAACGCTTTATGGTAAATATTCTTTTGAATTAAAAATATTCTACAAGAAAAATTAATAAATTTTATTATTTTTTTTCCTCCAGGATTCCAGGATTCAAAATTTCAAAAATTATTTAGCCAGTATTCCACTAAGGCATAGCCGTCCGCTCGGGCCCGACACCACATCCACTAAAGCATGACCTTATGGTTGAAATACATTGCATTTTAATTCGACTTCGTTATGTACTTGTTTTTTTAAAAGAGTGTTAGAAATACACAAGCGGTAGTCATTTTATTTGACCAATTTTCCCGAAAAAACACGCCGACTCGGGAATCTTTGGAGTTCAAAAAGTATAATTCATAGTTTCCATACGGCAATTTTCATGCAAATCACTCCTGGGTTAATTGAGGTCCTAATAATTCGGTTCAAAATTTTGCAGTTTATTGCTTCGTTTTCCGAAGAAAATGAGTAAGACCCGACACTGCATATTTTATTCAAATAAAATTCGTTTTTGCAGGTTGTGATTAGAAAACTAATCGGATAATTACTCTATTTGCGCATGCTAGGCGGCACGCATGCAAGTCGCTATATCCTCGTTTTTTAGTTTACACGAGTGGTGCTTTTTCCAGCGCTACAATATCGTTCCAAATTGATTTGAGGCAGCTAATTGTTTTTTTTTAGTTCCATACACAACTTTAGCTCCAACATTTAATTTTAATCTGATTAGCCAAAATACCTTTGCCAATTTTTAATTTACCAAAATATATTCGCGGCTAAATAGATGGCAGTCGGAACAATCAGGACTTTGCCTTGATACAAGCAGTTTTGTTTTTGATATTGTCAACCCAAAATTTAGTTTTGCTCCGACTACTTTCAAAGAAAATGCTAGTGCTCGGGGTGTTTTTCTTTCACATGGCAAATTTAGTCTTTTTAGCAAGCAAATTAAACAAAAATAATTTTCGAAACATATTACAAAAAAACCTGAGATCAAATTAAAAAGATACTTCACCTATGGTCATTTTTCGTTAAGTTATGGGTGTTTGAAAAAAGCCAGTTTCGCCAATTTGGAACAACTGACCCGCAATATATTTCATGCTAATCACTCGTAAGAGGAATCTTAGTCCTTCTAAGAAATCGTTTGTTTATTACTTCGCTGTAAGCGAAATATATCATTTTGTACTTTAAATAGTTTGTTGGGTGATGAATAAAAAACTTATACAAAAACGTTCTTTTTTTTCAAATATCACCCATTTTCTTAAACCAAAAATTATTCCATATACTTTAAAATGCAGTCGGAACAATCAGGGCTTTGCTTTGTTAGGAACAATTTTGTCCAGTTTTTCGCACGCAAACTCAGCAGCTTTTTAGGTGTATTGGCACGCAAATTTACGAGCCGTAAAAACGTGGTATGGGGCGAAGAATTAACGAAATACTGATTTGAGCGGCAGCCTGAAGTTTTATAACAAGCATTACTTGTGTGTAAAAGCTGTGTATCAAAATAGCGATACTGATCTAGAACAAAAGCGGATTACTGAAGTCAATGCTTTGATTGAAGTTGAATCATTTTTTGCAATTTGTATAACTTTTCACTACAGGAATTTAACACGTCCCGCACCGGATTTCCATGGATAATAATCGATTATATTGAATTTTCGTGGTTTGTCTCAATAAATTAAAAAATAATCGATTATAATCCATTAAAAATGGATTATAATCCCTATGTTTTTTATGCCAATATAATCCATTATAATCGATAAAAATTGATTATAATGGAGTTTTTCGAGAGGTTATTTGTGAAATTTACAGTTTTATCAAATTTATCTCATTTCCTGTTTAGTGCAGTTGCTACGTAAAATGTTTCATAAAATGTTACATTTCACGTCGAATATATTATTTATTGTGGTTTGAGCGGTGTTCCCTCCGTTTACTTCAAGTGCCATTTGCCCCCGTACCCCCCTATTTATTGGTAGAGTTTGGGGGAGTGGGTTTATGATTGACACCCCCTCTCTTTAATTGCGGAGAGTTGAAAATTACTTGAGGTGGTGACATTAGACATGGTATTTAGTAAAAGACATGGCATACTTTTTGCAGATTTCCTGCAAAACTTGCAAAAATTCTGCAAAAATAATCGAAATTGGTTCAAAAAATATAATGTATTATAATCGATGATAATGGATTATAATGGATTTTTATTGCAAAAATACTCAATTATACTGGATTATCTTGGCAAAAATAATCGATTTCATTGCCAAAAATAAAAGATTTTAATGGATTATAATGGATTATAATGGATTTTTATTTTTCGAAAAAAATCGATTTTAATGACCACCTAATCGGTTACGTGGTCTAAATTTGCCACAATAATGGATTATAATGACAACTTTTAGACAAGCTTTTTCCATTATAATCGATTATTATCCATGGAACTCCGGTGCGGGGTGACACCGCCAAAATTAGGAAAAAATGTCGATATTACTTTGAGCACATGCAACCGGCTAATTTGTACAGCAAAAAACTTTTTACTGAGTTTCGATTGCGGTTACCTATGTTCTAGATCTATGTTCTTAATTGCTCTAGAACTCTTAAAGACTTTTGAACAGGGTTAAGTTACTTAATTTGAGTATTTATTGTTTTATTTCCAAACATTGAGTGAAGCACATATGCAGAAAAAACCGTATGTTCAAAAGTTTTCAAAATGAAACCAGACTGCTCGTATTAGAGCAATTTCTAGACTTTTATAGCTGCCCTTAAAAAGTTTGAAGAAAGCTTTTGGCAAAGAGTTTCGTTACATCTTTTAAAAGCATTCATTGATTTGTTTGCGAATCTCCTCACACTCAATAAAAAATTTTTGATAAATTTTGCAACTATTGGCCTTTTGGATCAATTAGACTGCTTTAGAATGAGTTGTGAGCTTGAGTAACTCGCCATATTTAATACGCGTTAACAGAAAAGTAGAAAAACTGTGAGCGAAAGTTCTCCGAGTTGGCGAATTGGAGAAATTCGACAACTCCACACTTGTTTGAAAAAAAAATTGTGGGCAACTCATCCGTTTATATCTTAACTCAGTACATCTGTTCGTTTTTATGATAAAAAAAACGTCCGCCGAAAATGGCGAATTTTACAGTAGACAAAAAACATGAGTTTCTTTCATATGACAGTTTATCTGAATCAATTCGTTACGCGAGATAACTTTTGTTTTATTCAATTTTTTTTGACAATATGGGATGCTTCTGCTCGGTGTATTTTTTTTGATTTTTTAACTTTTCGATAAATGCCGTTTATATAGCGCATAAAAAGGAAGATGTTTCTACAAAAATCTGGTTGACATTTTTCGAATTTTTTAAAATCTTTTTTGTTCAATTTTCAAAATATGGAAAAAGATTTAATCAAAAAATGTTCTATGCAACTTAAAGGGTATTCAGACTAGATAGGGTTTCACCCTGATACAAGCAGTCTCTTGTTTTGTGAGTTTGAATTTACTCATTAGTTTTCGAAATGCTGCCAACCTTTCTAAGAAGACTTTGCTCAAAGAAAATCAGTTTAGTTTTTGTGTCCTGGTAAAAGCAGTCTTGATTACAAAGATTTAAAAGTATTGTTTTCATTTGATTTTTTTTGTGCTTTAGTGACACCTGAACTATTCATTACAAAAAGAAATCTTAATGACACTTTGATGCGATTGTTACAAGACTGAGCTCCAATAAGTTGCAAAAACTTTGAAAAAAAAAAACAATCAAACATTTTACAAGACTAAATGCCCCTTTTAAAACAATCTGTAAGTCAAATGAACCCAAAATTTTCTAATTGGAACACGCACATGCTCTCGTCCAAAAACGAAAGGGTGGCCTGAATTCATTACAAAGATATCTTATGGACATCCTGATGCAAACGATACATGGTTGAGCTCAAACAAATTTCAAAAACATCAAAAAAAAACTCTCAAACAATTTGGAAGACTAAACGCCTCTTTTAAATCAAACTGTATGTCAAATGAACCCAAAAATTTCTAATTGGGACACGCAAATGCTCTCGTCCGTAAATGAGTTATTTGTGTGAATTCATTATGAAGACATCTTAACGACAGTCTGATGCAAAGAATTCATGGTTGAGCTCAAATATATCGCAAAAACTTGAAAAAAAAAACAATGAAATATTTTGCAAGACTGAATGCCTCTTTTAAAACAATCCGTATAACAAATGAACCCAAAATTTTTTAATTACAACACGCAAATGTTCTCGTCCGAAAATGAGTTGTTTGTGTGAATTCATTACAAAGACATCTTAATGACATTCTGATGCAAATGATGCATAGTCGAGCTCAAATAAATTTTAAAAACTTCAAATAAAAAAACAATCAAACTTTTTTAGAAGACTAAATGCCT